TATTGTTTCGATACAGGGGCGCCAAATATGAATATTTCGTTAAATAAATACATTAAATACAAATACTTTGGGAATATTACGACCCAGGGGGTTCAACCTACCTGATGGGTGGCAATCTTTCTACAAGCTGTTGCAGTCTGATTTGGACTGACTGCAATCACTCAGAGAAATCGCCAGAGGTTTGCAAATATTTGCTGTCTACTTTATAAATGCAGACTTTAAACTTCAAAACAAATGAATGGCGTCCAGGAGTCTAAATCTATATTTCATACCTCAATAGCCTTCAGAATTTTAATCAATCACCTTGATATCTCAGTTAAAAGGTATTGATTCATATTGGTTGCACTCCACATAATCGCCCCAGTGTTGAACATACTGGTAGTATCAACAAACTACTGATCAACAATGACAGCTGAATTTTTAACATACAGGTTCACAGTGTCCAACCACCACCAACGAGTGATGTAATTAATTAAAGTTAAAATAATGTCAACTGTACTATTTGGGATGCAAGAGTCTAAATTCTTGGGTGCTGGTTTAGCTCATGGGTAAAGCACCTGACCCATATCAAATCTGCCTGAGGACATTTGCACAGTCTTCCCTGATCTTTGTACCCTTTTTGTACCCTCTTCACTTAACAGCCCCTCCCAAAAAATATAACCTACACTAGGTTTAGTGTCCTTAAGGATGATCTGAAACTATGAATTAACCGAATCTCCAGGCGCTGATGCCCAGACAGAGTGCTGCACCAAAAAGCTCTTTGTGATTGCTGTGGTCACTCGTCCTTTGCGGAGAAGACTCTGACTTCTTTATTCGCCAAGTGGCAGTGAAACTGAAGAGTGCAACACTTGTGTGTTAATAGCTAATGTTTGCCTTCAAAGTAAAGAGTTACGCCTTTTGAAACATGGTGGTTTCAGCAGTAAGGTACAACTCTTACATTAAAGGTGAGCAGTGTAAATTTCACTAGTGCTCAATGGTTTGTTGGCAAATACGGGCAAGTTGACACCTTCCATGCAAACTACAGGCGACTGCAGCAACCACAAGGAGGTTATTGGCACAGCATACAGTTTGCAAAAGACAGCAACCTCCAGCAACCACTCTCCATCCAGTCTCTAGGTCTGTGTGAACTAATGCAAAAAACTAATTCAAATCTTCTTGGTAATGTTCCCGACATTTGAAACGACAGAGAAAATACAAAGCACAGTAATCAACAAGATTTGGATTCAAATGACTAAAAGGACACTACAGAACCCCAAGGCATGGAGGTAGATCGAGCAGATAATTGGGTGGAAGCAATTATTGTTAGTGTTAGATATGTAAAACCCTGCTATAGAGGAGCATTAGAAATTATCAGCCATAGACTATAAATTCTCAGTTCAGCATATCTGCACTATCAAAATTATATTAAAATATTAAAATGACCAGCAGCCATAAAAAAAAACTAAAAAAAAAAAACTGCAAAAATATGCTCACAATGATGCAAAAGAAGCAGCACGAGTTTGGTTTCAATGTTCTGAACTAATTAAGGTAAATAATAAACGCAATGAAAAGTAAATGTGCTCTAAAGAAATTAAAAATTTCAAATTAAATCCCTGCTGTTCAACTAACTCATTCATTGTGACTGAGCTGGAAAACATCTGCAGCTGATAGAGGGGACAGGGCAACGATTACAGCCTCGTTCTCCTGGTCTGACCTCGGTGCTTGGGATCAGGTTCAACTCAGATATGTATGTTTATATAATAATAAGAGATCTTCTATCACACACAAAGCTTGGTCTCAGGCCAGGTCACACCCAGCTGAGGATCTACACTGAGTCAAGGATGAGCTAATCAATAGGTGTAAGGTGTCTAAGCAGGGAGGTGCACCTGACAGGACCTGTGCAAGACCCTACCTGTCCGGTCAGTGGTGTGTGTGTGTGTTTGGTGTACTAGCAGCGAGCTGGCTGCAGTCAGGTGGATCAACCCTGCTCAACCTGCCGGGACCAGCTGAAATACATGAGGCTACGAGCTAAACTGCTAGCTAGCTTGTGTGCTTGAATGCTAGCCAATTAGCGAGCTAGGCTGCAGGTTTTAGTCTGATGGATCAGGTGAAGCTGATGACTGCTTGGGTAACAAGTCCGCCGATCACCCCCCTCTCCAAAAAACCACAACAGGCAGGTGAAACAAAGCAGTCCTGACGTCAGGCTGAGATAACCACCGACTGCCGGGGTAAACAGTAAGCACGTTAGCAGCTGTGTGGTACCTTTGTCTCCCTGATGTCCTGCTTCGCACCTTCGGGGTACCACTGGACGCGGACAAATCCCCTCCCGAGAGGCCGACTTGGGGTGTCCACGGCGCTCTCAGTGTCCGAACCGCACGGTACTCGTCCGCCTCCTCCACCGCCGCCGCCGTCTCCGCCTCTCCCTCCGCCATCGTCGAGGTCCGAGTCTGAGTTAAAATCCTCCTCGCCGTGGATCATCCGTACGAGGCCAAACCGGACTGAGCCGCGATATCGTCCGGAGACCAGGTCGTGGGAGAAGAGCAGCCGCTGTGAGCCGTCCGCGGTGGGGGAGAGAGCCATGGAAGGAGGCTCGGAGCCCGGGCTGGCTACGGGAGAGGGGCCCGGTGTGGGTGATGATGCCGCTGCTGCTGCGTCTGTCTTGGCCGCTGCATCCGATGCTACGGGCTCCGCCATCGCCGCTGTTGTCAGGGAGCGATGCTGGAGCGCGAGGATGACGGTGGAATAAAAAAAACTGTAACCTGGAAGCAGCGAAGCGCACGTGTTTACGTAGCTACGCGGGCTACGTATGAAGCGCAGTGTGGTAGCGTCATCACGCAGTACCCGCTGTCACCACTGAGGGGCGCCGAGAGCCAGAAACAGGAGCCACCGAGAAAGACCGCAGGCTGTACGTAAAGTATGATTCGTAATCTGCTGATGGGAGACTCTCTAACTTACTCTAATTGTGTACATTTTTATTTTACGCCAATATTTTAATGGTTACATTTCGTTTTCTGCTGTAAATTACTAATATTTATTATTATAAATTTCATCATATTTAGCTATGTTCCCTTTTAAATTATATTTTCCTAAGTAACGATAGTTAAAAAAGACATCTCTCTGTCTGTGTGTGTGTGTGTGTGTGTGTGTGTGTGTGTGTGTGTGTGTGTGTGTGTGTGTGTGTGTGTGTGTGTGTGTGTGTGATCCTTTGTGGATCTTACCTAAATGATTTAATATTGTTGCACAGTGAACGCTATACAAATAAACATGCAGCTCAGTTAACAATAAAAAAAGTTTTCCTTTATTTATTATTTAACATCTTTCCACAAATATACATCTGAAGTAGCCTGAGTTTATTAATTTTCAGTGCCCCATAATTAAACATCAGTTGTTTGCTTTAAGGATATATCTGTTTTGTTTTAGATTTGGTTTTTGTGGGGATTTTTATGATAATCTTCTCAGTTTCCAAGTTCTCAAAGACATTTACAAAGTAAACCCCATTAGTGTACAGGAGACAGAATATGTGACAGTTTAATCTGTTTTTAAAGGAACAGGTCTATAAATTTGTGAAGACTGAAAACCAGGAAATATTCTTGATGTGACTTGAATATTCCATCCTCTTCTACTTATCTGATTCAGGGTTACCTATCTCAGACAGATTGAGAGGCAGGGAATACTTTGAACAGGTTACTAGATTATCACAAGATTCACACGTAGAGAAAGACAACCATTGACACCTACAGCCACCAAATAACCCAACCCAGGCATGTCTTTGTGACGAAGACATTGTATCCAAAAACAAGCTACAAAAACACAGGGGGGAAAAAACACGGCATTAACAATATTTAAAACCGTCTCATACCTAAAGACACAGGAGAAAACACAGATAACAGATTATTTATATTTCCTTTGCTGAACAGCACTGTTGCGACTGTCTCAACATCTTCAGCACAGTTGCAGTTTTGCAAACAAGAACATGTAAAATTTGTCTTTTAGGAAGAACGTGGGGATAGAAGTGTTTAGTGTCAGAAAAGGAGGTGTCCCCATTACATTTATTACATCACCTGACCTATAAACATGAGCACAAAAGTCAACCACTGAAACTAATTTTTCTGTTCAGCACTGCAAATAAATAGCTTTCATTTGTTATCTTAATAAAAAGCTTTTTTTGTAAATTCAAGGATGACAACAATAATTATCGTTTCGCATTAAATAAGCACACTGGTGAATTTACTATTAGACAAACATAAGTCATTTTGCTAATCATCAGTATTGTTAATTTAGTGTAACTGTGGCATAAACCTCACATTTAGGTGGTGTTTTAATAAATTTGTTAAGCATTGTATATCCTGCTCTCGGTGTCAGTTTGCATTAATTTGTTGGGAAATGCCCTCTAAAAGCGATAAAATGCAGTAAATTATTTTATGATTTCATCTCATGAGGGTAAAAGTTTGTTTGGAGAGGATAAATTCTTCAGGGAGCTTAAAACCCCACCAGGTGACAAACAAGCTCCTACACATCCTGTAGCCTAATCCTCTTACAGAACTGGAAAAATAACCCATGGAAAAATCGTGAACTCTGCTTAAAGCGGCTATGGATAGACAAAAGTCTCCTTCGGAGAAATCACATGAAGAGTGGTAAGTCGAGCCCTTAAGTTGGCCCAGTTAAGAAACACGCAATCTCCTCAGTGTGACAATTAATCATCACTGACGTTCTGATGATTAACCAGCCAGAAAATAATTTTCCAAATATCTATACCTACGTTATTGTGTTTATTCCAACCCAGTCGCGTCACTTTATGAAACTTAAACCTGACTTTACAGCAGGCGAACACGAGTTTGGTGTAGGAACTAAGCAAATCCAAATCGGTTGGTCTGATGGAGGCAAGACGATTATCCCTCCTGTAAATATGTTTATGGTTCAGTTTACTCACGGGGAGTAAAGGGTTTATCCATACAGCTCACTTCAGGATTACAAACGGTATAAATACTGGAAGCGCTCCACTCTGTTCAGTCTGCGCCAGTTCTCGCTGTACAGTTACGCGCGGATCACGGACAGCCAGACAAGTTTCATCTCGTTGTTTAAAAAGAGACTGACACGAAATCAGACAGGAAATTGTCAGCGCAGCACTCTTAGTTTTCCTGCGAAACTTTCTGGGAATAATCAGGACTATGTCTGTGGTGAGCGCAGTGCCTTTCCTGAAGCCTCTCCCCATGCGCTCTCCGGTGCCTCAGGGCCGCCGCCACACGCTGCCGGCCAGCGAGTTCCGCTCCCTCAGCCCGGAAGATGCCATCAGTGTATTCGAGATTGAAAGAGAAGGTAAGCAGACTCTTTGAACTTACGTTACAGAGCAACGGTGCTTTTAAATACCTGCCTGAATTTCTTCAGAGGACGCGCGTATTTATGCAGATTTACGCACGCCAAGCGTCTTTTAAGAAAACTGCGGGGAGAGATTCTCAGCTAAAAACACAGATTTTATTTATGTTCTCCGACTGAATAGAAAGCTCTCTACAAACCTGAGCCATCACTGATTTTATTCACGGGCAGATTCTCTTCAGTTAACTGTCCTGTACACTTTCCTTGTGCTTAGCAGTCAGTACATTTGGGAACATTACGCTCAGCTTCTTTAACATCCTGCACAACTAATAAAACTGTCTGATTGTGGCAACCGTGACCCTTATCTTCTTCCTCCTCCTCCTCCTCCTCCTCCTCCTCACACAGCTTTCATCTCTGTCTCCGGTGAGTGTCCTCTCCACCTGGACGAGGTGCGTCACTTCCTTACTCTGTGTCCTGAGCTGTCTCTTGGCTGGTTCGAGGAGGGACGGCTGGTGGCTTTTATCATCGGCTCACTGTGGGACCAGGAGAGGCTTACCACGGTAAGACGGAGCGGAAGACACCTGGACAGTGATTTATCTCCGGTTGAGAGTCGAGCAAAGATTCAACACAGATTAAGAGAGGCGCTTCAAGTGCATAAAATTCAGTGTATGGTGATAAATCTTGCCGACATACGAGTTTAGTGCCAACCGAAGAGAGAACAACAATAATCATGGAAGCTGCCTGACAATTTCTTTTAAGCCTGCAGCTGTACGAGTTTTAAGTTTCCACCTAGCAGAAACAATAAAAAAAAAAAAATCAGATCTTAAATTTCTTCATGATGACGCAGTTATGCGAATCCAACCAAGAATGAAAGACTGTTTGCTATAAACATTTAATATTCGAGGACTGCAGGCTGGAGTCAACATGTAGCTGATATATTTTCAAAATATGCAGCTTTTAATCCCAAATACAATCATCATTATCATTCAAGAGTTCATTCACCATCTTTTAATTCTCATACTTTTCATTCAACTAAAAGTTATGATGATGAATCCTGCTGACGTCATTTTAACTCCAATATGAAATTATTTTTAATGAAACCAGAGTCATTTAAACTTGAGCCCTTCATTTAGCTTTAATTATTAAAGATGGTTTTTGGGGGTCTTTTAAGCTTTAAATATTTCTGTGGGTACCCAGCAGGATGTTTTACTTCTACTGACAGCTCTCCTCTTCCTCTCCAGGACGCCCTTACGCTACACAAGCCTCACGGGACCACCGTTCACATCCACGTTTTGGCCGTCCACCGGACCTTCCGCCAGCAGGGAAAAGGCTCCATCCTGATGTGGCGTTACCTGCAGTACCTCCGCTGCCTGCCCTACGTCCGCCGTGCCGTGCTCATGTGTGAGGACTTCTTGGTCCCCTTCTACCAGAAGTCAGGCTTTAAAATGCTAGGCCCCAGCAACATCACGGTGGGGCCCCTTAACTTCACAGAAATGTTCTACCCCGTGAGGGGCCACGCCTTCATGCGGCGCAACAGTGGCTGCTGAAGACACAGACTTGATGTGGATTCTCTATAGCTGTGAAAGGAGGTGAAGACCCCTGAGAAACGGGGTACAGGGGGCACGTGATGAGCGGTGCAGTGAGTGTTTGTGATCATCGCTGTCTGTGAGTGAAGCCTGTTTGTTTGGCAGGAAGTGACGTGTGAATTCTGACCCGGAGTCTGCAGAGAGCCAAAAACAGAGAGATGTCGACAGCAGTGGTTTGCAAAAGTGTCCTGAAAGCAAGATTTGATTTGCATTGTAGTGAGTTCGTTACACAAAAACCAAAATCCCAAATCTTTATTTTGATAAACGCTGGACATTTGTGTCCAACAGAACTGCTGCCTTCTTTATTTCTTTTATTTTTTTAAACAGTGAGGACACGTTTAAATAAAACTAATTCCTTTAGTAATTCTCCAATAATATGTAACAGCAGTTAAAATGACAAAGGAGGGATATCAGCAAGGCTAAATATTAACATTTAACTTCTATTAAGACTTCAGTGATCCCGTGACTGACCGTTTATAAATCGGACGTGTGGCACTTTAAAAGTCTGTCTTCTTTATGGTCTTGTCAACTTTTTCTTGTAGACAGCCTCCATTTTTGCCTCGGAGTCTTAAATCAAGACAAACTCATTTTTACACTGTTTTGTTCTAATAAAAATTTTATTTTCTAACCTCTCTGTCTTCATATGTTATTTACATTTTTAATTACTGCTGAACATGAAAGGGGGATGTTCATTTTGACATTTTTCTATTTTTCTGGGCTTGCTGAGGACCGAAGTGTCTGGAAAAACTGACATTTAAAGTTTGTTCTTGACCGAAGAAAACAGCAACCGAGGAAACATATCTGAAGCTTTCAGCCTTCAATAAATGTCAAACTCATTTTACGACAAAGGCCATATACAACCAAGTGACGACTGAAACTCCGCTTTGTCAGTGTAAAGATACTTAACTACACATTTAATCTCTGTGATATCTTAAACAACCGGAACTTTCTCTTATTTAATTGTTAATCTATTACTTAGTTGTAGTTTAAATGGCTGTGGGGGAGGTCTATCAGTAGAAAAAGATGTAAAATGTATAAAAATTACAGTTAAAAAAGGTCCAAAAATGTACACTCTCCTTCATATTTTCCAAAGCTGTCCTGCAGGCCGGATTGGAGTCTTTGCCAGGCCAATACTGTCCCCCTGCACTAATATATAAAAATAAAAAAATCAAGTGATCTCTATAAGTCTTCCTTTTCTCCACATCTACAGCAGTTCATCATATGATGGGTGTATTGCTGGGGAGTAAGTGCAGTCAGGTTTGGGAAAACATGAAATCAAACTACTCACAAACGTATTGTTGACAGTGTAATGTATTTTCACATGGTTGCTTCAATACACATAATTTCACATATAACAGTACCGTGAACATCTCCTCTAATTAATTTTAGCATTCCCCTTTTGTTCCAGTAAATAGGGGGGGGGGGGTGACATTATTTGGTCCCGATGCACATGCAGCTGGCCGTACAGCTGCTGCATACAGACATGATGGTGGAAATGGCTTGTTGTGTTTCATGTTAAACATTCAGATGCGCACACGTCAAAAGGCACAGTAAAGGTTTCCTTAACAAAAAGAAGAAGAAGAAGAAAGAAGAGAGGTGGATGTCTTTGTTCACACTTTACCCGCCAAATGCACGAGGGCACGTCTGTATGAGTCCTGTGGCTCCAGCAATGCAAAAAACAGTGACACAAAAACTCAAAACATCTGAAGCATCCAACAAGAGACCTACTCTGGATGTTTTTGTGTTGTCTTAAACGCAGGATTATCCATCAGTCAGTCCTATAGACTAACTCACGTAATCTGATAATCACTCAGTAACTAAACTCACATAATCCTCCACACAACGGTCAATATTGTGGTTCTAACAGTCCGGGTCAACTCAAACAACAACCCCGAACAACAACAACACCCGTGATGGGGAATCAGTTTCACTTCAGGCTGTCGGGCCTCTGAAACATGTCGTTTCCAAATCTGCTTGTATGTGTGCAGAGAAGTTTGTCCAGGTTTGAAATCATTTCAGAACATTACCGAGTGAAAATGGAGAGGGCGACGCATTTTACGGTGCATTTCACCAACATTTCAGTACCTGGGCGAAACATGGAGGTGATCCCGTGAGTCTGACTGTTTCACAGAGTTGGAAATGTAGTACAAATCTTAATTTGATCTGAGAAAAGCAGCCCGTGAGATCACTGCTAAACAAATACCGTTTTCTTGTGTCCATTTTTTTTCACAGATTAAATTAAAAAAAAAACAAAAAAAACCCCCAAAAAAACATACAGTTTAGGCACCGCTGTGTTACCAGACACATACGATCAAATAGTGATTAAAAAGTAGAGCTCAAGTAAAAATTTGTTCGTGGCATTGGCATACGGAGAAGTGGCTGTAAAAAGATCATGCATACACGAGCTCATAAAAGCAGCATGACAACTTGCTTTGGTAGCTGAGGGTCAAAAAATGTCTCATTATTTACAAAGTTGATTACAAGCAGTATTCAAAGTATAACAAATGCCTCTGTTTAAGGCAACTAGGTGCTGTAGACTGAACCGTGCCTTAACTGCTGTTAGTACTTGGATCACATCATTAACTTTAGCATAACATTTCACTGCTCCGGAGACTATCGACATGCCAAGTGCATACGCGCAATGGGCAAATACAAAAACAAAAAAAAAAAATACAGCAGCAGACGGCGTCTGTAGTGTTAATCCAGTGTTACCGAAAACAAGGAAGCATCTGAAATGGGCTACAAGATGCTTGATGACCCGCTGTGGTATCGTCGTCCACAGAGTTAAAGGGAAACGACTGTCAGACAGAGTCGTTCAAACCTCCTTCTTTGACTCGGCTTCTTTACTTCAACACGACTCTTCATATACACTGAAGGAGTCTCTCACTCCGTAGATCTTTTGGATCCATCAGCTCTTTGCAGTTTTAATGTCCTGAGTGCCTTTTCCTTTTTTATGTTCATCAGTTAGCAAATTAACATTGCAGGTCGTACCAGACACAGAGGACTAAAAAAGGACTGGATATGTTTTATGGAAGGAGGAAAGTCACCTGACTTTTGAGGAGGAAGTGATCCAGTTCTGGTTGCATGGAGTTTGAGTAGAAAACAATAAAAAAAATAAAATAAAAAAAGAGAGAGAGATTTAAAAGTTCCCACCCAAATGACTGATCACATCATTGCTAGTAGGCCGTCAGCACAGGCAGTTTGATAATTTAGATGTCATCTGTGGCCTCCAGACTAGTTCACCACATGTTCGATGTCGTGGTCTATGTCGTATTTTTCACAAAACTTGTTTGTGATCGGTAAGCAGGTCAGATGCTCCAGCCAGTGCAAGTTAATTCGGCGAATATAAAACCAAACGATGAGGGAAGCGAACAGTCCAACGTAGGCCAATAGCGAGACGGCGATGAGGATACGTTTCCGGTACTTGTCGAATGTCCCGAAGGTGACGTAGGGCAAGAAGGCAAACGAGAGCAGCAGGCCGCTGAGGAAACCGAAGATGTGGGCGATGTTGTCGATCCACGGCAGAAGGCCGCACAGGAAGAGGAAGAGCATGATGCACGACAGTTTAGAAAAGGCTTTCCAGGGCTTCTCCAGCATCTGCCAACCCTGAAACAGCTCAACAAAGAGGCAAGCGAGGAGCCCAAACTGAGACCCCGCTGGACCCACCTGTCAGGAGAGAGAGAAAAAAAGCCAAGTTACACAGGAACTAAAGAGGATTCCTGCAGCATGCACGCTGCTTCACACAGTGTGCACAGAAAACCTAAACGCCTGACGCACTGGACCAACGCATGATAAGCATCAGGTGCTTTTAGTGTGTCCTGTTAGGGGGCAAACAGGATGTCAGGGTGACTCTAACTGCTCCACTTAATTGGCACATTACACAGGCTCACACATGGTGGTAGTAGTGGTGGTGATGGGTGGGAGAGGGGGGACAACTCCTGGAACAACTTTCCAGGAGTTGTCAGAACTGTAAAATTTAATTTATTTTTTAAAAAATAAAAACACATTTTAATAAGATGATTTGTCGAACTGTGTTATTTGCAGAGGAAACCATTAAAGTGAACTGTGTTTGTTTAAATGCGAACCAGGTCTCTGAATTAATCAGTGATTTAACAACAGCAAATAAAGTGCAACAACCAGTTAGCTCGCTGACAGACAGACCAGGCAGACGCGCCGTTTAGGCCCAGAGGAGCAAAGATTTAACCTGATTACCGAATCCTGGCAGCAAGTACCAGGATAGTATTTTAAGTAACAATTATTTAAATCGACTCATTATGAGTGACACTAAGAGGCTTAATGCAGTGTAAACTGTAGTTACTGCAAGTAAGGTAAGGATAAAAACTCACCAGCATCTCTCATAAATTATTCTTTAAAGCAAAGCAGACAGAGGTTCAGAGAAGTTTCTAAGCGACTCTCAGTGCATCCATACTGAAGCTTTCTAACCGTAATGCAGGTTTAGTTGTGCACAGATTATCTTATGTTAAAGATCCAGTTCTGGGGAAGATGTGCAGTATGAGCCCAGGGTCACGCAGTAAAGGTGAGCAGATTAAGGTGACGTCAAAGCTTGGCCTGGTGAGAGGCAGATGGCTAATCGGCAAAGACATTAAACACCCACAAACATTTTTAAAAAAAAGAAAAAAAAGTGCACGGCAGTCCACCCACACACCCCACACACGCAGGCTGACACGCTCCTCACACGAGTCGTCGTCACTATTAAACCCCTCATTCAGAAGTAACCTGCTCACTGCTCTCAAACTGAATCAGAAGCTTTGTGTGTTCCCGTATGACTCTCTCATAATCACCTAAATGTTTTTGTACAAATAATCTAATGAATTATATTAAGAAGTGTTCTGACAGACAGACACTCCTCTCCAATTTCTCCTTGAAAGTAACGTATATAATCTCCAGGTATCCCTTTATATTTCTCCAGAAACCACTCTTCAAATTCTTTCACTCAAATACCAAGATAAAGAAGAAAACTCACCGACGTCTCACTGTCAACACGCTGACTTTTGCACTGTTTGGATTGTTTTTCCTGTTGTTTAAAGCTTTTAGGTTTCACATTCTCATAGTGTCAGGATTTAATTAATTCTAAAATGTCAAGTCTATTAAAGTCTCTGAGCGTGAACAGCTTTAATCTAACTGAAGGCAGGTAAATGTGTTGTAATAACTCCACAGTGAATTACTTCTATACTGTTAAGCAGCAGGACAGGAAGCACCTAAAACGGAGCCAAACAAAAGTTTAAAACTGAAACAAAAACTCAAGATAATATATAAACAGTGGACATAATATTAGTCAAGCTGACTCTATTTGTTACAGTAAAAGCAATAAAAACATCGTTTTAAAAAGTTATCCGTTTTAAAGACACCAAACCCCAAAACATGAAAGTCGGGTCGAGAACTGATTTTTTAAAGCATCCAACCTGAGCAGGTGCACCTCCTGAAGTATATCAAAGCCTTTTAATGTAACTTAAACTGCTTGAAGATGTTTTCTGGCTCCTAAGAAAAAAAATGTTGTGGTTGTAAATGTGAAAGGAGGAGGAAGGTATGGTCAGCATACTTTATGTTGTATGCAGCACTTTTACATTTAGCGTACCCTGCACTGGTGGTTAGCAAAGAGACGTTTGA